AGGAAGCCAGGTATCGATATTAGAGGCGAATGCACATTTCATGCTTTGCAGGATTGAAACAGTAAAAAAAAAAATCAAGGATTGAACGCAAACAAACGTTATTTACCGTTCGCATTTGTTTTCATGCATATCAAGTTGAATTATAACAAGTTTAAACTTTAGAAATTAAATGAAAACCAAAGTATTTTTAGTCAAAGAACATGTTTTAGGAAGTGGATTGTTTTTTAAACTTTAGAAACGATGAATGAATTGATTATTTTGTTAAGTTTTGTTCATTGTTTTTTTTTTAAATAATATGAATTAACATGGAAATTCAGTGTTAATGAAAACATTGTTTTGTAAAATATAAAGTATGCTTTGTAAATACGAATTGACATTGACATTTAATAACTGTATGTATTTATTCAAGAATCAATTGTGTTTCTGTGCTTCTGAAATAAGTAATGAGGTATCTTCTGTTAAAACTGTCTCGTTAGGAGGTAAATTGTAGCAAGTAGTGGTAGTAGTAGCATAATAATAATTGAATTGCCTACGTTTGATCTTAATTAGTGGAGAATAATGGATGTTGGGAGGAAGAGGAAGAGGATGGGATAGGAAAGGGTGGATGAGATGAGACGAGAGTAGAGGTCTTGCAAAGTGTAAAGTGGTGAATAGAGACTTACCGCATTGATGTAATTGATGAGGCTGAGTCCTCCGTCCCAGGGCTGTTCCCTGTCGCAGGAGACGTTCGAAATCCGAAGGGTGTGCGATTGCTCCAGAGTTTGCAGACCGATCGAGAACACGAAAACAGAGTCGTACATCAGAGCAGCCTCCGCCTGGAATCACGAATATTTCAAACATTGACACAGCGTACCGCCGCCGCAGCCGCCTTCGACTCAGACACGACCACAGCCGCCTACGGAATTCCAATGACCCGTGGACGTTTCAATTTCTCCGCACAAACAGACGGTTAAATAAACGACAATAGCGAACGAGCAAAGAAGAACAAAGAAAAATAAATATCTTATTCGATATTTCCTCTATTTTGGCGAGTTAAATTTAAGGGATTCACAGGTAGACAGAAGGTAATTGCAGTTAAAACGGTTTTTTTATTATTATAGACACTTGAAAATGCCCGGTAAATATTGATTATCCGCTCCGTTTGCCAGCAAACTCTGGCGTTGATTTTAATTAAGTTGCCTCTAATTCCTCCCCGTTTTTTTTTCTATTTGTTCAATCTCATGTTTGAAGTTCAAAGTAAATATCAGTTCCATGCGCATAAAGCATATTCAAATGAGTTACGTTTTATAACATAATTTAGTCACAAAATTAGTGTCTACATTTTTTTACAATTTCTCAAAAACTATCAAAGACTAATTGAATATTAAGCAACCAAATTAAAGTTAAATATTGTAGTTTAAATGTGCTTACTGATTGGATTGTGACTAAATTATGTTATAAAACGTAACTCATTTGAATATGCTGTATGCGCATGAAACTGATATTTACTTTGAACTTCAAACATGAGATTGAACAAATAGAAAAAAAGGGAGGAATTAGAGGAAACTTAATTAAAATCAACGCCAGATTACTATAATATATATATATATAAACTATATATATTTAGCAATCATTTAGTTACTTCATATATATCTAACTTGAAATATTTTTCAGAAAAAATGCAAAAAGTTATTTTTGAAGCTAAAATTATCCAAAATCACAAATAACTCAATCCAATCAGTAAGCACATTTTAAATTAAACTACATATATTTAACTTTAATTTGGTTGCTTAATATTCAATTAGTCTTTGATAGTTTTTGAGAAATTGTAAAAAAATGTAGACACTAATTTTGTGACTAAATTATGTTATAAAACGTAACCATTTGAATATGCTTTATGCGCATGAAACTGATATTTACTTTGAAACATGAGATTGAACAAATAGGAAAAAAAACGGGGAGGAATTAGAGGCAACTTAATTAAAATCAACGCCAGAGTTTGCTGGCAAACGGAGCGGATAATCAATATTTACCGGGCATTTTCAAGTGTCTATAATAATAAAAAAAACCGTTTTAACTGCAATTACCTTCTGTCTACCTGTGAATCCCTTAAATTTAACTCGCCAAAATAGAGGAAATATCGAATAAGATATTTATTTTTCTTTGTTCTTCTTTGCTCGTTCGCTATTGTCGTTTATTTAACCGTCTGTTTGTGCGGAGAAATTGAAACGTCCACGGGTCATTGGAATTCCGTAGGCGGCTGTGGTCGTGTCTGAGTCGAAGGCGGCTGCGGCGGCGGTACGCTGTGTCAATGTTTGAAATATTCGTGATTCCAGGCGGAGGCTGCTCTGATGTACGACTCTGTTTTCGTGTTCTCGATCGGTCTGCAAACTCTGGAGCAATCGCACACCCTTCGGATTTCGAACGTCTCCTGCGACAGGGAACAGCCCTGGGACGGAGGACTCAGCCTCATCAATTACATCAATGCGGTAAGTCTCTATTCACCACTTTACACTTTGCAAGACCTCTACTCTCGTCTCATCTCATCCACCCTTTCCTATCCCATCCTCTTCCTCTTCCTCCCAACATCCATTATTCTCCACTAATTAAGATCAAACGTAGGCAATTCAATTATTATTATGCTACTACTACCACTACTTGCTACAATTTACCTCCTAACGAGACAGTTTTAACAGAAGATACCTCATTACTTATTTCAGAAGCACAGAAACACAATTGATTCTTGAATAAATACATACAGTTATTAAATGTCAATGTCAATTCGTATTTACAAAGCATACTTTATATTTTACAAAACAATGTTTTCATTA